AATGAATGTACAAACGCGCTTTAAACAATTGATGTGTGTATGGATTGTGATAAGAGTTGTATAAGGCCCTAATAAAATGATTTTAAAAAAAAGAAAAGAATGTTATGGAATTGTATTAAAGGGTAGCGGCATTAGGAAGATTGAGAACCACTGCGGTAGCCTCTCTTTCACATCTCTGGTTCTCTTTTCCTGGTAATCATTAAATCGTCTGCCATGCCATAGCTGCTGCTACTGCTTGAACCACCAGCCACCTTGGTCATGATTTGGCAATGTTGACCTCTACCTCCATCAGAGTTCCTGCCTCCAAAGTCTCCCTTCATCGGTCCAAAGCTGGAAGACTGTATGTTATAATTGCCAACACCATTGTAGCTTCCGCCACCTGCAAAACTGCCTCCATCATTACCAAATCCATTATAACCATCCCCACTGCCACCATATCCACTACCTCTACCGGAGCCACCATGTCCACTGAAGTTTTCTGCCCCGACCAATGTCATTCCCAACAAAACCACCTCCCGGACCACCACTGCAATTTCCAGAACTGCTTTGACCTTTTTGGCTGGAAGAGGCAATGGCCATCTTTCCTTACATTACAGTATGGTATTTCTGGATGATAATCTTATCTACCAAATAGTGGCCATCCAAAGCCACAACAGCAAAGCTCCTCTTCTTGCCATTGCTTCCATCAACCATAATTTCAATCACTTCCATTTTCCCATACTGCTCAAAATAAATCTCATAGGTGGTGCTCTTCAGTGTCTTCTTTGATACTATCAAGAAAGATCTTTTTCACGGTTAAATGGGCACCTGGTCTTTGAGAGTCTTCTCGTGAGACAGTCCTCTTTGGTTCCACAACTCCTCCATCTGCCTTGTGTGACCTTGCATTCATGGCTGGGTCTCCCTTCTCCATAGCAGAGTAAGCGACAAACCCAAAGCCTCTAGAGTGCGGCCCCCCTCAATTCCCCCCATTGCTCAAAATGGCTCCACAGACTCATCTGTTGTTTCAAAGCTCAACTCTCTGATGAAGAGTTTCCAAAGCTGTGTAGGCTCTTTATGAGTCTCTGACAGACATGCTGGTGGCGGTATGGTGGTGGTGGGGATTCTAATGATACTTCTTCTGTGATGTCCACAGGCAGAAAGTGAGAATATTAGCTCTTTATGAGAGTAGAAAACATCATCTTTTCCCCACTGGCATAGCTGGTGGTTTGGACTACTGACTTTTGCTTAGTATCCTAATTCATAACTAACTGTACCCTAGAGCTCCTTTAAAAAGTGAACCAGAGACCTATACAAACCGTAGATATATGAATGGATTTGGGGCTCACAATCCTAAGTTCTTATGACTTGGGCACATGGCATTGTTCCATGCTCACTCTTACGAAGAGATTACTTTAGATATGGTTGCTACAGAAAAGTGTGGTGAAGAAACCAGATGATGCCCAGCTATCACAAAGAATAGCATCTGAGATCTAACAGATTTGTTTTTAAACAAGCCATCATCGAAGATACAGCAACTAAGTCCACATGGAAGAAGCACACCCGCCTGTGAGACCCAAGGATTGTACTAAATAAAATCCAAATCTGAAAGAGTGAATGTTATTAGAGCTTAAATTGTGAACACTTTATTTGCAGAAGGTTATGGATGACAGTGGAAACCCCAAATCCATCTGCGGGCTTAATCATCAAATGGATTAAGCCTCTGGTGAATCCCTTGTAGCCATAGTCGAGGTATAAAATAGCACTGCAATTTGACAGAGTACATTGTAAAGTCAATAATGGCAGAATCAGTTAGGTGAAAATGTAATATCTTATTATTTTATCTCCCTTTTGACCCATTTTACAGTTGTTTCAGTTTTTAATATTTTCTACTTTCTTTTTGATTGAAGTTTTTCTATGTTCTGTCTAGTCTGTCATTTTTTCTGGAGGGGAGGAAGTATTTGCTTCATGGAATAATGGGGTGGAGGGGAATGGGGAGCTATCAAAGAGTATGAGACGAAAATGCTTTGAAATTGATTGTGGTGACTGAAAAAACTACTTAAATATGACTAAATGATTAAATTGTATGATATGTGAAGTATATGACAATATAACTATTTTAAGAAACTACCAAAGAAAAGATAAATACTGGGATCATATTATATGCGTAATTTGGATGGCACATTTTCTTTAATGTCATAAATTATAAGCTATCTTTCATTTTTTAAATTATAAGCATCCTTATACATTATGCTACAAAACAATTTTAATGGGAAAAAGTACCCAATACGTGGTGAAAATAACATTATGCTCATCACGTTGTGCAATAATCACTGCTATCTGTTTACAAATTATTCCATTACTGTAAAGAGAAACTCAATGTTTTCTAAGCACTGATCTCATCTTGCCCTGCTTCCAGCCCTTGTAACCACTAATAAATCCAATACATCAGCTTACTTCATATAAGTGGGGTTATATCTTTCCTTTTGTGATGTCACTTCAAGATTGATCCATATTATACCAAATACAAGGGCTTAATTTTTCTTTATGAACGAGTAATACTACCTTGTATACAGGAAGCACATTTTGTTTATTCATTCATCTGTTGATGGACATTTATTACCCACCTTTTAGCTACTGTGAACAATGCTGAAATGAAGCCTGATTTACAAATTTCTGTATTCTTGCTTTCAATTATTTGGGATCTGTCCCTAGATTGAGATGGCTGGATTATATAGTAGGTTCTATTTCAATGTTTGAAGAACTGCTAAACTTTTTGTTACAAAGAAGCTGTAATCATTACATTGTTCATTCTCATTAACAGTGGATGAAGGTTCCAATATCTCCACCTTGTCACCTAAAACAGTTATGCTTGCTTTGTTTCTCTCCTCTCCATGAAACCCAAATCATAGCTTTTAAAAACCAAACTACAAAGAAAAGATAGAATATAAGTCTCAACTCCTAAAATTTTTGTTAGCTTGTTTACTGTCGAGTTACGTCCAGCTCTTGGCAACCTGTGTTTCTTTGGAATTGAAAAACTAGTTCATATAACCCAGACTTGCAAAGCAGAAAAGAATGTGAAGTTTACTACATTAAAGAAACCAAATAAAAGGCTGAAGACTGGTGCAGTTAATTTAAAAAGGGTAAGCAAAAGAGTCTATATGGAGATTCAGGGTAAAAAACAAAACAAAAGTTTCAAATTCCTTTTAGCCACACTCTGAAATTTTTAGGTCTGATATTATATTAGGTCAAAATTCCGAAAACCTTACAAGTTGTTGAAAAGTATGAATATGCTAATTATATATATATATATATATATATATATGTATGTATTTCCCCCCCAAAGAAATGACTAAAAGGACATACCAATGAACACAGGTTACTTGGTGAATATAAAAGCTTTACTTTCTATTTCAACTTTTTATCACTTGACTTTTTAAATATAAAACATTAGATATAAACACAGGCAATAAAATGCTACTATCTTTAGTATACTTACAGTAAAAACCAACAGCTGTAGGCAGCAAAAACAAAGCAAAAGCATAAAAAAAGTCAGTAATCAAAAGCAAGCTATTAATAGCGCTATACGCTCACTTCCATGTTCTTTTTTGATCTAAAAATAATATTAATCATGCAGCATAAGAGTGCAAGCTATCATACAGAACCTGAGGAGCTGACTTTGGAATTAACTGAAAATAAGTATCTTACATAAGACCAAGTAAAAACTGCACCACTACTAGTTAAAAAGCCTTTCCATAAGATTATGTTTTTAGGGGGCTTAAACATATAACTTACAATTTAAATACCTCATTTAAGTAGGTGCTCATTTATATTACCAGTATGAGCCTGTGTTGCAGATAGAACCATGTAAGACTTTCTCTGAATAGATTTTAAAAGTGCAAGTCTTTTCAACAAATATTTCCTAGTAGAGAATTGTGCAGTCAATATGAAATCAAGTCAAGCAACATCTCAGTTTCAGAAGTTTGAGTGTTAGCTCCATGGGGTTTACAGTTTCTAAATCCCAATCATTCCAACTTCCTCCCTTATTATGCCCCTCACTTCTACATATGTCCACAGAATAAACACTGCAGTAAAAATAATGAAATCTGCAAACCACATGTCTCTTGTCTTATGGAAGTATGCATATTTAGTTTGGGATTTGGTAGGATGCATGATTTTATTTGCGGGATTCTATGCAGTGTGAGAAGTGCTGCTTAGAACACATACAGGCATGGAAATAAATTCCTATGCTACCACACGACAAAGAAGAGAGACAGCAAATGTGCTGGGACTGCTGAAAACAGGAGGAACTGACTCCATCAGAGCACCGAGCTTCCGAGCCAAGGTAACTTTTGAGTTTAGCTTGCGGAACAAGCAAAGCTCACCAGATAGACAAGGATAGAATATTATCACAGGAAGTGAACCGCACAGGCAAAGGAAGAGAATTACATGCCATCCTCAGGACAGAGGATGAAGAAACCGAGGGCAGAAAGGCAGTTGCAAAAGGATGTTTATAAATAATGTTGTGAGGGAGAAAATGGAGAATTATTCTTTGACTCCAAACGTACTTTTATTCTGGCCTTGTGATGATGGGGCTGAAACTCTGTCAACCACATTTCTTCTCTGCCAACTGGCTCCCTCTTTATCTGCTGTTATTAGGGACTGCCAAGTTAGTCCCAACTCATAGCAACTTGGTGTAAACCTACTCCCATGTAATAATCCTCACCTTTATTATGTTGGAGCCTACTGTTGCATCTTCTTGAGGGTCTTCCTCTCACAACCACCACCCTGAACTTGACCAATCTTGTCGGATCTCCGAAGATTAGCACGGTTGGGCCTGTTTAGTACTTGCATAGGAAACTGCTTGGGAATACTGGGTGCTGTATGCTCCCTCTTTAACTACAAAGCTAAAGAGGACGGAGGGATTGCTCTTTTCTGTTTTCTTCCTGTGGGCTTTTTGTTCCTGTACCACTCCAGCAACACTTCATAACCCTGGTGGAGACATGCCTTTCACATATCAAATGCTGAACCTGGTCTGCATTTTTCTTACCTGATTCTTTGGCTTTCCTATCCTTCTGGATTAAATTTGATTTAATATACCATGGCATACAATTTTAAATTAAATTTTCTGATCAAATAACTGGAGAGGGCCTGTTTCTGACTAATCCAGAAATCACTGGAAAGTTCTAAGCAAAGTAATGATCCACTAAGAGCTTTGTTCTAGAAAGAATGCTAGCAGCCACAGATGGGGTTGTGTCAAAGACAGAGTATTAGGTTTAGTAAAGTCTCTGGTGGTTATGAAACAAATGAACTACTTCAAAGAAAAACAATGTGCAGACCAGAGTGTGTTTTTATGTTAAGCACCAGGAATTTTATTTAAGTTGCTATAATACAAGTTTTCTACTATACTTTATATCTTCTCCTTTTCTAGTAATGTGGTTTATATAGTTGGTAGAGTCTCCTTCTCTTTTATATTAGCTGCTAGGAATCTCAGAGTGAAAAATACTATGCTGACACAAGAGAAAGCCCTAGATGGAGTGGGGGAGAAAAATGCAGAATTAAATTGATTGTGGAAAAAGGCCAGGACTACTGTACTAATACACTAGAGGAACCTCTTAGATTATTGCCCAAAGGTTCACTTTCAACTTGATATTGAACCTATTCCTGAAGGCCACCTTCTAGCCAAATAGATTGGCATATCAAATAAACAATATTGTCTGTGAGTATGGTACTTCCATAAACAACTGCATGAGGGCATGCGGCCACATTTCCCCAAAGTAAAGATGAGAAGGCACAGAGGGAAAGGGAAGCTGTATCAGTGGACACAGAGGAAACAGAACAGAAACCATGAGACTGCTGACATGCTAAAAACTCTAACTACTGTCAGGGAACAATTTGTAAAAAAAAATATTAAATTGGAATTGGATTTGTTTTGTAAACCTTCAGCTAAAATACAGTATTTTAAAAAGAGTGATGGTGAAACACAAGTAAACTGACTTTGTGGAAGTCTATTCTTTCCTAAGATCTGATTACATATTTTAGTTTTTAATTGTATGTTATCTTTTATTGAAAGTCATCTCAGGCCTTGCAAATGATAAGACATATAACTAATTCTTTAAAGTCAAAGTTATTCTTTACTATAACAAATTTTGGGTCATACAGCTAAAGGACAATGGGGATGGGAATGAATGGGTAGCAGAAATGTGAACTTGGGTGTCTCACACAAAGTATGAACAAAAATACATGAACAACTTCAGTTTCAAATATCAGGGGGAAATCATTGCTTTTTGACAATTACTAACACATTTCTAAATACCAAAGAGAAGGGGTAGTGAGGCTGCTTGCATTAAAATACTCTGCCACTAAGTAGTGTATTGTCCTTTATCTCACTGCTGTGGGACTGTGGTCAGGGGTGATCCCTCTTCAGAGTTTTTAGTTCACGATGGAGGAAGTGCCATTCTACCTAGGACTAAAAGACATGATCTTTCCTTTAGCTTTTTGTACTAAATTCTAATGTACATGTGAGAGAAGAAGGCTGCATACAAATTTAGTTTTCAGTAGGTGAAGGGAGACATCGGTCAATGTAAGACATGAATAAAAAATTTTAATTTATAAATTATGAAGGGATTGTGAGAGAGGTAGGGGAGAAAAATGAGGAGTTAATACCAAGAGCTCAAGTAGAAAGAAAATGTTTTGAAGATGATAGTGGCAACAAATGTATAAATGTGCTTGACACAATGGATGTATATATGGATTGTGATAAGAGTTGTACAAGCCCCCAATAAAATGATTTTTAAAAAAAAAATCTAGCTCTTGCACTTATGACTCATTGATTCACTTGGAACCAATATGGCTATATAAAATCACATACAAAAATTACCTGAAGGATTAGAGAAATCCAACATGCTGGTAGTAGGCTGCAGGAGATCAGGGCTGCTGGAAGAGAGTGTTCCAGGGATTGGCATTATAGCAAGACTGTGCCGACAGTGTCTTGTCCCCACAATGCTGTCATCCTGGGACTGGCTCAGGCCTCCATCACTTCAAAAGAATGTCACAGATGACTTAAAAACATTTGCAGTATTAATACTAAACACTTTTGCTCTCTGTTGCACTTACTCATAATAGGACCAATCCAAAGCGACTTCAAAAATTAAGTTAAAAAATTAGTCATTAAAAAAATGAATAGGACATCTATAAGGATGAAAATAGTGATAAAATATTATGGTTGTGGTAGAGAAACTAAAGCTGTGCATGTCCAGAACCTGAGCTCGGTCAGCTTCAGAAGACACTATCATTTGCATTACTGTTGCTATTAGGAACCGTTAGGTTGGTTTAGACACATGGCGACAGAACGAACCCTGCTCAGTCCCATACCATCCTCATCATCGCTGCTGTGTTTGAGCCACTGTTGTAACAGCGGGTCAATCTCCCTTCTCTGAGGGTCTTCTTTTTCAATGGTCCTCTACTTTCACGAAGTATGATGTATACATACTTACGTACACACACCCTTGGCAACCTTTTATAATCTGTGAACCCAAGTTCAAGCTACCAAATGAGAAGTCTTTGAACATACATTCAAACGGTCTATAAGCCTACCAAACAAGCAAGACTAGAAAAAAGCTAACAGGAAGGCGGCAGGGAGAACTGCAACAAAGAACACCTACAGTATGTAACAAAAAGGAAACTGTCATCTTTGTGGAAGCAGCCACAGCTTCATCTTTTCCTGCAGAGCAGCTGGTAGGTTTGAACCACTAACCTTGCAGTTAGAAGCTCTAGTCCACTATACCAGGCTCACTGGCCAAATGAAAGGAGAAAGAAAAGGGCAAGAACAAAAACAGAAAGGGGGAAAAAAATCTATAATTTCTAAACTTCATCCTAGGAGCACATTCATTCGAGAGTAATTATTTGAACATTTGGAAAGAGAGCACAAAAACCCCGACAGAAAGCAAGTTCATTAACATTAACTTCCTTTTAAGGTTAAAGAAAAATAAGTCTCAGTTAAATGGCCATATTTAAGCAAATGAAAGACCATGGAGCTGTTCTGGTTACATGCTGGGTTGCTAACTGCTTGAAAACACCAACCACTCCATGGAAGAAAGACGAGGCTCTCTAACTCTAAATAGTGACTGTCTTGGAAGCCCACAGAGGTAGTTCTACAATGTCCTATGGTGTCGTTGACTCTCATTTGGAACCAATTCGGGGACAGTGAGTTTGATTTGGAGGTTTTAAATATTTTAGACATGTTACAAAAGCTATTCTACATTCATCTAAGGGAAAAAAGCAAAAATTAAGAAAACCAATTCTGTCACTTAAATTTTATATACCTCAAATTCCTATCTACATTTGATGCAATGCAGCTTTCTTCCCAGTTATCTCTTGTATATACAAACAGTAATAGAATACTTACCTATTATCAAGGCAATGATTAAGGTATAATCTTAAAAAATAATATATGGTTACTTACAATATGTTAGGGGAAAAATATAGGATTTAGGCAAATTAAAAACTATGCAAAATGGCCAACTACATGGCTAAAGGACAGTTAATAGGGAGACAAGGAAAGGAGAGGTCCCACAAGACAGGGAGCAGAGGAACAGGGAAAGCAGGAACGTGTGAAAGACAGCAAAGATTCGTATGTTAGGAGCAAGTGTTCATGTCAGTCTGACCTGGGCTATTAGCCATGGGATGCCAGGCAAATCTCTCTTTCTCTCCTGACCTTGGTTTCCTCACCTGTATAATGAGATGAATGCTAGCTATTTCTCTGGACTTGCCCAGCAATACTGAAAATTAACATTTCAGTAAAATTGAAAATGTAGACCAACATTTTGGCACAGTAAATGGCATATTTTAAATAGTGGCCATGAATGCAATACTATGACAAATTACATTATTTTCACTGACTCCAGAAAGGGACAACATGTAAATGGAGAACAAAGCAAAAGAGAATTCCTATTTTTAAGAGGAAAAGAGAATTCCTAATTTTAAGAGAAAGAAAGTAAACGATTTTTACAAAAAGAAAAAAGGCAAGAGTACAAACCTGGAAAGGAGAACTGTAGTCATATATTTTAAAACAATTTATAATTATAAAAAGAGAGAGTACAGTGGGAACAGTACTACAGAAATAGGAAATGTTTTTTTCAAAGGGGACATTTGACAGCTAAAGCAAAGGAAACACCTAATCTGATGAAGTGATCTTTACTTAGGCTAGGTCAATATGTGTAATGGATTTGAAGACCCAGAGATAAGCACTAAATGTTTCTGGGTCAGGGTTGGGAAACATACATGGAAGGCACCCACAGATATTTTAATCACAACTTGTAAATAATCTGACAATAATGTAATTACATAGAAAATACAGGTTTTCTATTTTTAATGTTTAAAAAACAATCATTAAGGAATTTTTTTAGGATGAGCCTACCAATTTTGGACAAAGTCAGGTAACTGAATCTAAACAATCAAGGTGCCGAAGATTAAAGAGATCCGCAGTCCTACAAATGATCAAAATCGAGGGAAAAATTACAATTCTTCATGCAAGAAAGTTAACCGCATCAGTTGCCTCAAGTTGGAATAAAGAAAAAGAGAAAGTTCTTTTTCATCTCTTACTCATCTAAGAGATGTTAAGTACATCTCTTACTGATGTATTTAACATTATTTCTACATTTTAATAATCAACAGATATGACACTAAATAGAAACTAATGTAACGCCAGTTATAAATTAATGGTAATTAAGGTGTGATCATGTATCAATGAAAACTACAGTAATGTGTACAATTCATGCTATGATATGAAATAGTATTTAATAAGCAAAATATTCATGCTTGCTTGGAAGCGGAATTGATAAAGCCAATTTGTAAATAATTATATCACATCTTACCAAAATAGTCTCCTGAGAAGGTGATGCACGAACAGAAAAAGATATTTTGAAAAATACTTTTAATGATTCTCTAACTAAATTTATTCATAATAAAAGTATATTTTAGTTTTATATTGTAAAACTAGAAAACCTACCTAAATATTATCAATATACAAATAAAAATGATCTCAATATTAAAAGCAAAGAAATAATAGCAAAAAGAATAGAGGTGAAAAATAATTTTAATAAGCAAGCAAGGCAGTCTATTTTAAAGTTGGTACAATGAAAAGTATAAAGATGACATTCAGGCAAACTATGATTAAGAAACAACAACAAAAAACCTGGATGAGAAAAATTGGAGATCTGATTTCCTGAATGGTGAAATAGTCTCAGTCAGTAAAAACCACATTGATATGTCTGAGCTTACAGATGTTCTTAAAAATCAATAAAAAAATTTTTCATTTTTAGTTTTCAGAAGTTTCTTATATTTTAAAATTTCATCATTAGGGATTTTCTTATTTCAATTATTTGTTTATTCTTTACATTCTTTCATTGCTCTTCTCACTTATGAAGAAATTCCTGCTGACAACCCATCCTCCACTCTTACAGAGGTGACAAAGACAGTGAAAAAGTGATATGAGACTTCGTCTCATTCTTCTTGAGATCCCTCCCATAGATCTCCAGTACACAAGAGGATCCTGAGAACATTTACAACTGAAGTCCTCAATTTTTGAATGATAAAAACTGGTAAGCAATCAACACAGAAACTATAAGCATAAATAGGAAGACAAGAAGGGAAATGATCTCTAAAACACATCTTACACAATATCAACATTTTGATATTTTTCCTTCTAGTTATTTTACTTATGAGTTGAAGATTTAGGTTGTTTCCAATTTTGCTTTATAACAAATAATAGAAAACTAAGAACGCCTACATGTAAATCTTCAACTGCTTAATCATAGAAATGAAACTACTGAATTACGAGTACAGCCATCTTGGCGGCTGCTCTCGGTTGGGGCCGTCCGCACCTAAGACAGGAAAATGATGGCCGTAAAGAAGACGAAAAAGTCGCTGGAGTCCGTCAACTTGAGGCTCCAACTCATTATGAAAAGTGGGAAGAACGTGCGGGGCTACCAGCAGACACTGAAGATGATCAGGCAAGGCAAAGCGAAACTGGTCATCCTGGCCAATAAGTGCCCGGCCTCGAGGAAATCAGAAATCGAGTACTACGTCACGTTGGCCAAACTGGTGTCCATCCCTGCAGCGGCCACATCGACTTGGGCACGGCGTGTGGCAAGTGCTACAGGGTGTGCGCCCTGGCCCTCATCGATCCCGGGGATGCTGGTATCATTTGAAGCATGCCAGAACAGACTGGTGAAAAATAAATCCTGCAATATTTTTCTTTAATAAAACTGGCCAGAGCATGTTTTAAAAAACAAAACAAACAAACAAAAAAACCAGTACAGCCATTTTAAAGCTCTTAATTAAAAAAAAGTGCTTTCTGGAAAGGCGACCTTCATTTTACACTCCATGGCAATCAGAATTGATATATTTTATGTCACTCCTATCCCTTATTAACCTATTTTTGGCCTTTGATGATCTTTGATGAAACAAATAGCATCTTATTTTAAATTGTACACCACACCCCAATCTAAGAACAATTCGTTCTTAGGACATGGTCCTGGCTTGATGTTCACCCTCATGAAGAGATCGCTGAAGATATAGGTGCAATAGCAAAGTGTGCTGAAGAAACCAGATGGTGCCTTGCTATCAGAAATAGCCTCTCGGGTCTTCAAACAAGCAGCCATCTAAATGAAACATCAACTAAGTCCACACAGAAGAAGCACAACAGCCTGCAGAATTCAAGGGTGGTAAATAATAATAAATCCATAACCAAAAGAGTGAGTGCTGTTGGAACTTAAATTATGAACATCTGGCTTGCTGACAGCTACAGATGACCGTGGAAACCCCAAATCCATTTGCAGGGTCCACATAGAGATTAAAGGTCTGGTGAATCCTTCCCTGACCATAGTTGAGGGATGTGACTAGCTCTGTTGTCAGAGTATTGTAAGTTGATTATGGCAGATGTAGTTAAGTTAAAATGTAATTTTACTCATTTGTTCTCTCTTTTGATGCATTTTAAATTTGTTCTATTTAATATTTTCTGCTTTCTTTTCTATTGCGTTTTTTTGTTTTACTTTATCGTTGTTAATTTATTTGTTTGTTTTTCTGTATAGGAAATCCAGGATAGGTAATTGATATAGAAAGTAACTGGATGATTGGTTTCTTGTTGGTATGGCAGGAGAGGTTGGGGGTGAAGTGGGGAGCTAATAACAATGAATACAAAAAGAGGAAATGTTCTAAAAACTGACTGTGGTGATGATTACATAACTCTTCTTAATCTGACTGAATTACTGAATTGAGGATATGTAAATAAAACATAAATAAATTGCACATCACGTCCTTGATTGTTATTAATGCTGAACATTTTTCTACTAACGTTTTAGTGATGTGGTCTAACTGATTTTAAAGAGCGCTTTTATCTAGAGTTTAATACATAGTCTTCGGCATGGCTCGCGAGGTTGGCTGCATGACCTTCCAGTGACTGGATGCCCAGCTTAAATCCCCAAAGGAGAACAGCCAGTTTCAGAGAGAATGACAGTGTCACTCTCCAACGAAGCAGGCTCCAGAAACTCGTTCATTCTACTAAGATGACCTCTTCTGGGGGGTTCCTGTGGCTCCAGTTTCCAGTATCTCAGTTAATTAAAAACATATGTAGACGAGATGGCTAATTTAATAGGAACTTCTAGAGGGCAACATTCTTAAGTCATTTTTATAGCCACAGATCACAATTTCCTGTTGGCAGAAAGCAAGAGACTCAATAAAGTTGGTTGACTAATACATGAAAAATACTAAAAATTTTAAAATCCCAAGTGTAAGTTACACTATTTCTACTAAAGCTTTAATTTTTTTGGTAACAATATAAAGTAATAATGACTGAAATATCCAACTGACTGCTCCTGGATGCCTGCCTCTATTTCCATGTCTCTTGCTGTAAGCAAAGGCAAAATCCAAGGCATAACCAATTCTTCCTTCCCAAAGAGAAGCCACAAACAGATATTGCTGTAACTTTCTGAAACGAGTTTGGCAGGTTGGAATGTGGTATCAAAAAGCTAGTCAATTAAAATCACACCTTCTCTGTTTTTCAGATGACACAACTAAATTAGACAGGTTATATCCCAACTGAGCAATCATTCAAAATAAGAATCAATTTAAAAAATAGTGTATTCCAGACAAAATCTACCAAAATTTCTGGAAGTGGAACTAAGTGCACTACTTCCTGAGAAATTCCCTTCATGACCTTTCTCCTTTTTCCTCCAGGGCTTTAATTCTTGCCTTGAGACTTCTGATCACACCAAACTGTTCCCAACCTCTTCAACATGGAATGGCACCTTCTAAATCCCTCTTCTTACTCCCTTTGCTGTGCAGCTGTTATACTACAGTATGTTCAATATTAAAGAATCCCACTTGCATCGAAGAGAGTTGCTACACAGAAAAGGAAGATGCACCATAATAAACTTTCTAGAAACGAGTGACGAAGAATAGGGTTAGGGCTATTTCAAACTTCTGTGAGCCTCCCCAACGGAATGAAAAGCAAATGTGTTTCCATGACTAGAAGGAAGAACTCAGAAAGAGGAGCATTTTCTGGGCTAGAAATCTCAAAAGACTTTTAATTATGTAAATTAAGAGCCGACACCAACTTGAGGTCAAGCCGCCCCTACCAAATTGCCAATGTGTACTATATGACACATTGGTCACAGCCACTCCATTAGCTCTCAGAGATCTTCCCGGAAGAAGAACTCTTATCACTTCATATGCTTTTCCTGGCTCCACCAGGGCATGATAAAATCTATATTCTTGACAATCTTATTAAAAATTCTTCACAACATAGCATTTATCTACTTCTTGCTTTGTATGTTGGCAGGCAAAAGAAATACACCCCCTACTTACTTTACTATGTGTGTACCTCTGTACACATCAATACATTTACCACTCTAACATGTGAGAACTTTTGTCATTTGCCGACTTTTCCTCTTAGGCTGTTAGCTCTTAGAAAAAATTCACTCTATTCATACTTTCAGCTCTGGCCACTGTGCTTAGCCTATAATAATAATAATAATAATAATAATAATAATAATAATAATAATAATAATAATAATAATAATAATAATAAAGTGATGCTATAGTAAGGGTTCCTGAAAGGAATCTTTTTTTAGTTCTCTAACACCTGGCACAAGCCAGGGAGCTTATCAAAGGCCCCATAAGTACTTTTTTGAACACGTTTTCTCTCTTTCATTGATTCATTCATTATCTTAATGTCTTAATAAATACTCAAGTACCAGCCATGTCTTAAGTACTACACTTGATGAAAACCTTCTGATAGCTTCAGGAAGGAGACAATGTAAAATGTACACTTAGAATATGAACTAGAATCATTCTCAATCATGAACTTGAGAGGATTGGCTTTATCAGTATTTTAAAAATCTTAATTTACATCTATTTCTCAAGAAACTACTCAGTTGTGGGGATAGCCTATTTTGGAAAAAGAAAAACCTTACAATTTAAGAGTGAATAAATAGTCTCAGAAAGGAAAAGATAAAAACAAAACTGGCACCAACGAACGTGCCTTAAGATTTAAGACATCCAAATTTGCAGATAGTCCAAGAGGACCGAAAACCTGATTTCACACTATTTGACAGTTTTCTCTAAACAAGGTTAAAGAAAGACTATTTGAAAAACCTAACGGTGTTAACATCATGGAAATTAGGGGGAGATGTTTAGAATATATTCTTCCAAATGTATGTATTACCGTATATACTCGAGTATAAGCCGAGTTTCAAGAAGATTTTTAAGGCAGTTTTGTGGTAAAATTAGGTGCCTTGGCTGATATTCAGGTCAGCTTATACTCGGGTATATACAGGACTTAACATTTTTGTGATGGCTAGCTGTATTAAAAAAAAAGCCTATCTACCTCCACCCACTTCCCATGCTCCCCAAATTAGCACTTAACTATTAATATGGAAAGTCCTACATGACAGTGACTGGCATTACCTACCTAAACAACTTTGGAGGCAAAATACTAAATCGTGTTTTATCCAAAATTTTCCTGATTTTGTTTCTTCCACCTGAAACAGTATTTGCTTTAAGTTTCTTATTTCCTTTCTCCTGTGATGTCTGTTCAATATCTCCTGGTACATCCTGGATTGAATGGCGATTACTTTTCTTCTCAGCAATTTTGGGAATATGTGGAACACCAGCTTTTTCCTGCTCAGACCGACTAAGTAATTCTTTGAACACTGTGGAAACAAATAAAATTTGTCATTTCTTTTCCTCAGAAAGTTTTTTACCCATTAAAAAAAATAGAAGAATAAACAGAGTCACTTTCTATTTCTTGGCCTTACACAATTCATTAAACATTTTCAAATTTATGCCCATTCCTTACTAGTTTTCATTTTGGGGGTAGGGGACCTGACTATACTGCAAGCTTAGACTAGATTTGAAAGAAAACATGAACTAAGGAATATCATTGCTATTCCCAATGGATCCTGACCAAAATCAGAGAACATCGGCAAGAATTTACTGGTGCTTTATCAACTACATAAAGGCATTTGGCGCAGGGGACCACAGCAAATTGTGGATAACATACAAAGAAGGGGAACTGCACAATACTTAACTGTGCTCTTACAGAACCTGTGCATGCTATAGAATGTGAACACGGATCAAGAGGCAGCTGATCAAACAGAAATAGGGCATACTATGTGGTTCAAAATTGGAAAACAGCTATAGCTTACTTGTGCCCTTTCACTTTGTTTGATCTGTATGATGGACAAATAATCTCAGAAGAAAAAGAATGCAGCATCAGGTTTGGAGAAAGACATATTAAGCTGCTACATAGAAATGATAAAACTGTGTTTGCTAAAAATGAAGAGCATTTGAAGCATCTACTGATGAAGGTCAAAGATTACAATCTTTGCTATGGATTAGTCTGAACACAAAGAAAACAAAAATCCTCACAACTGGATCAATACACATCACCATAAAATGAAGAGAAATTGAAGCTATCAATAATTTCATTCCATTTGTGTCAACAGTCAGTGTTTACTGAAGCAACAGCTAAGAAATCAAAACCTAACTGTATTGGGCAAGTCTACTGCAAATGACTTAAAAAGTTTTAAAAGCAAAATTGTTACTTTGATGACTAAGGTGTGCCTAACCCGAGGCAGGATCTTTTCAATCAACTTACTTGCAGGGGGGCAATGAAAAAGGAATATAAAAAACTGATCCATTTAAATCAGAAGGCAGATAAGCCTTTCTATTTGCATAAAGATTTAAGTCTTGGAAACCCAAAGGAGAAGGTTCTACTCTGTCCTATAAGGCTGCTTTGAATCTAAATTGATTCAATGGTAGTGAGGCTTTTTTTTGTTTGCAAAAAAATAAATACAATAGCCAATATCAGTCTTAGAAGAACTGCAACCAGAGTATTTCTTAGTATGAGGATAGTGATAGTTTGTCTTGTTTACTTTGAACAAATCATCAGGAAAGAACCATCAATAGAAAGACATCATAATTGATGATGCAGAGGGTCAGAAAAAAAACAGGGAAAAAAACTGTGAATGAGATGGACTGACACAAGACCGCGAAAACAGACTCAATTATATCAGTCACCATGAAGACAGCACAAGACTGGACATGTAAGGTTTTCACGAGTTAAAGATGGCTCAAAGACAACAACACACTTCTAATGCTGACAAATGGTGACAAAAGTCAGCAGAAAAAAGGGTAGGTGTGATTACAAAGTACAGGGGTTTCTAAAATTTATAGAAATGATTAAATTCAATTATTTATAAGATATTCCTTCCTATATTGTGATAGCTGGAGTCAGACTTTAAATACTAAAGGCTCAATGACACAAAATTTAGTCATTACCAAAATGGGGAAAGCTTTGCTGAACCCGCTTTTACCAGAAATAAAAGTACTGAATTGGTAATATATTACAATCTCCTCCTGTTCATGCTTATGAGGTATATGCTGCTCAATAAAATAGTAAAGTGAGATAGGTAATAAGCATTCACTACAGCAATCTGCAGTACCGTATATACTCGAGTATAAGCTGACACAAATATCAGCTGAGGCACCTAATTTTACCACAAAAACTGCATATAAAATGTGCTGAAAAAACCAGGCTTATATACGAGTATACACAGTAAATAATTTAAGTAAATATTTTAGATATCTTTTTACCAACCACCTAAGACTTATATCTTCTATGGTTCCAATGTTTAATTTGCTTGACTATGCTTTTTGAAAACTTCTTTTTAGAAATAATTTTCACATCTCAGTTGCTATTACCATCACCTACTGTGGACTTTTATTTTCTTTGGCCAAGCCCTCTAAAATGCTCTGATGGTGTAGTAGTTATGCATTGGGTTGCTAGCCCCAAGGTCAACAGTTCAAAACCACCAGCTGCTCCGAAGGAAAAAGATGGTGCTTTTTACTTCCATAAAGAGTTACAGTCTCAGAAACTTAAAGGGGCCAGTTCTGTCTTAGAGGGTTGTTCTGAGTGGGCAGTGACTTGATGGCAGTAACTTTGGCTTGTGTTTTTTAGCCAGGCACCTAAGTGTCAAAAATATAAGACTTTATAGCAATTTTCATAAATATTTTTATTTAAAGTTTTCTTCTTCAAATTATACAGTAACATGTCAGAACATATTTTACTATAGGTAAGTCAATGTATATCCCTGTTTCTTTATAAGAATTCTAACTTTTCTTTGAGTTTCTGTGCACGGGTAGAGAACCTGTGCCATCTTGTAATAAGCCTGGAAAATTTTAATTTTAATTAAATTTTTGAACTCTGACAGACCCATTTTGGGTCTCTGAACTTTTGAATTGCTACTTATTGTACTAAAGTCATAATCAATCGATTATGATTCATAGAGACCCTACAGGGCAGTCAACTTCTGTAGTTTTTGAGACTGTCAACCTGTCGGAGAGAGAAAGTCTCATCTTCCTCTTACAGAGAGGCTGGTGAGCACCAACAGCTGATCTTATGGCTAGCAGTCAAACACATAACCCACGACATGGGTGGGGCTCCTTATTTATTGTACAGAAACACTTATTTCTAGCCCATTTAACAAAGTGGAACTGCCTACCATTCACTTCTTAATAAAGGTGAAGTGACACCTGGGAAAAATGTTGTTTACGTAATTTGCATTGTTCAAATATATCTTTGTTCAAAGGACACTATGTGAAGTAGAATATGACCTAAATGTTTAGTACAACCAAACTACTTTCAACAAAGCCAATGTGCACTTCCTCTATCTCAGGCGAGCTAACACTACATTAAAATATCCTGATTTTTGATGGGCAAACAGGTGTACGGCATATGTTCTATATCACAAAAACTGGAGCTGACAGGGGAAAACTGGTGCCATTTTTGGATCAGAGCAGGCCAAATATACCCAGAAACAACTTTAATATGTGAGGCACCAAAATGTGTGATACCCAGAGATAATCACAGTGGGCCTTTTCGAAGGTGGTTATGAATGAAAAATGGCCCTGAGGAAAAAAGAGGCACTCTTCTGAGGAATAATCACAGAAGGGAAGAAAGGGTTATGTCACAGGAGCGTGTGTTCCTAGCAATGCAGTATGGTAACGGCTTCACCTTTCCATGGGAGTTTTAAAAGGTGAATTTTTAAATAACCCAGAGCAGGGTTCTAAAATATTTTTTCTTCTTTTCCATAAACTACTCATTTTCTTCAGAATCTATAAGCTTAATGATCAGGTTCCTATACCCCTTCTTCTTGGCTCTCCTCTGCCTATTGATCCTGGTTGTCATTTTAAAGAACATGAAAAGACCCTGCAGGTTTACTCTCTATCATCTACACAGATCTGTCTTTTGGTCAGTTTTCTTTTTTGTAGGAGCTCTGTCTAGGAGTTCCATAAATCTAGGCTAACTGTTCAATTCTGCTTTATAGAAATGGCAGTTAATAGTTAATAGGACCAGTTTCACTGGGGGTGATACACTCAGAATGACATGCTCTATTTCCACAAATGTTTTACTAATACTTTTTGGTGATGCTCTCTGATGTTTTGCTTTATGGTGGATGATGGTTATCTGTACTCTACCTGGGGTAAGGAAGAAGGTATTGACTACAAGGGCCCTCTGTTTGTGACACTATTTCACTCCTGTTGTTTGCCACATTTTCTATGGTTCTTTTGTGTAATTGTTTCTTAAATGGTATAGCTTTTCTGCTTTTGTATTCCTCAGACCTATAATCTGTTTCCTAGAATCCATGGGTTAATCATGGCACTATGCTATATCTGTATTTTATAGATAAGAGAAAATAATATGATATTTGACACCTGTTAGTAAACATGATGTACCATGCAAGAGGTTGTAAATGACTCGATCCTTAAAATATACTATGAAATAGAGCTAGAGAAACAGGTTTAAAAAGACTAAGTAACTTGCCTAAGCTTTGTTTTCATACCTTTCAAAATCGGAATCCTTTTTAATTGAAAGCTTGCAATTTCTAGATATTTGTCCAAATTCCAGGACATTCATTAATTGGGAGGGCTTACTGACTTGTTCTAGGCTAAAGTAATATATTAGGAAAGGCTCACTAGATTGAACATGATGCACTGGCAGTTTCAGTGTCATACATGTCTGATGTAAGGACAACTCCTACTTGCCCTTTAACATGATGTAAATTTGCTTTCACTTTGAAATGACTGAACCAATCCTTATTGGAAACACATTCTTCAGTACAACCAACTTTACTTGTAAAACACGCAGTTTTCAAATCATTGAAAACTTTTCTTGTATTGAAGGTTACATAAGAATTGCATGTACCTGTTCGCACAGACCAACAAATTCTGCCCCCCCCCCCCCAAATTCTTAAAAGACACAAACGATTGCATTAGTAACACGGGAGACTCAAGTGAAAAGAGGAACCTATGCCTTTAAGTTTTCATTATGACTAAGTACAATGAGGAGGAGCCTAAGAGAGAAAAATAAAACTCACACTTCCTTTTCATAGACGCATCTTTGAAGCCAACTCTTACTTCTCAAGTTGCAAACCAACTAGACTAGAGAAAAATGATTCCCACGACAAAAACGGCTAAACTTTCTTGGAAAGTTTCAATGGTTTCATTATTTTAATTATTGCCCTTCTAAAACTTTCAGAGAAAATTTTATAGTTCCTATAAACATAAAGTCTAATAACATCTTTCTTAATGGTTTAAAAAACAAAATAGATTTAGAAGACCAGTTCTTGCTTTATTCAAATATCAACATATTCAAAATGATATGAAAAGGGAGTGTATGTTGATATTAGAAATCTGAAATACATTGCTTACTTCATTAATGTCTTACTGAATTCACTTATTTTCATGAAATGGTTTACCTGGAATTCAGATTATTATTTCAGGAGATAAGTTACAAGGTTTGAAATCAACTGATATGTACATTAATGGAAGAAAAGGTAATTGTGACTTCTAAGTTTCAATTAGTATATCTCAACCAGAGTAGAATATATAATAAATGATCAACAGACATTTCACAAATGCCAGTAGTTATATGTTTTAAAACTTGTTAATAAGGTAAGATGCTTATTCATAAGAATGAAAACTCTACACAATTTTATAGTTCAATAATAAAGATTCTAAATATTCAAACAGCTCAGATAAAAACATTTTTATATTTTACTATATCTTCCACTAGAATAATTTTTTCTTTTCCATCACACACAAAAAAAGCTCAGAATTTCTACCACCAAACTCACCAAAAATGTTGGTCTTTACAGTAAATGCAAGATGAGTATTATTCCTCAAAATTTCAACGGCCTTCACAAATGTAATGTTTTCAAAGTTTTGTCCATTTACTTCCATTATCTTAAGGGAAAAGCAGTTGAAAAATAAAAATAAAAATAAGCAGTACTGGTTACATCTGCAACTTTAAAAGTTTAATGGTGAATAAATAAAATTGAATAAAATGTACCCATTTGTGAACAGCGGTCAACTCTCTGAGACACTAGTGGGATTGCCATTTAAAATTTTTCTATATATTGTTTTATTGACCAAATTCTATACTATAAGCATTTCTTTAAATAAAAATTTCTTTTGGGATCACATAAAAGAAGTTTGTTTGAAAGTAAGATGCTTTGTATATGAAATGAAAGTTTTAATCATGTCAGACTAGCTCTTAAAAATTATTGCCTGGTGTACCAGTTTTAGTGAAATATTTAGAATGTGATTTTATTTCAGAGTGAGTTAATTTATTTAAAAGGGTATTTTTGGAGATCCCCTTACAGAGAGGTCTCGGGGAGGAGACGAGCCAGACAGGGTGTGATGTAGCAATGATGAAAAATACAACTTTCCTCTAGTTCCTTGAGATAGTTTATTGTGCCAGCCTGGCCGATAAACACAAGTGAGATTAACTGAAGGGCAGAGAGATAAATGCCTTGGTGAGTCTCGCCTTTCTTGTCTCTCGCTCTGTGATCATCGGACCCGTGTGCGGCTGCCTTGCTTGTTCTGTGCCTCAATTAATGGCTACACTACCTGTGGGACGCCTATCCTGTGGACTGTGTCACTTCACTGTAGGTTGAGGTCCCTTTAAGACATCTCCAGAGCTGGGAACTGGCAGTTGGTGACCTGGCTGGCAGTTGGTGACCTGCCTTGTGATTGGCTGCTGTGCTGACAAAGCCTAGTTCTCTCTATAAATAGAGGAAGATCTGGCAGCAGACTAGACTTGAAGGACTGCTAGTCTCTCACAACTCTCTCTCACGGGAGTGAGTTGCATTGAGCCATTTGTAGTGCTTTATAATTTAACTGTTTATTTCTTGTATTATATATTTATCTGTATATGATTTAACAGTTCATTTCTTGTTATATATCTAATTATCTTTATAAAGAAATATATTAAATTATCAGCAATTTGCTTTTATCTCTCTAGAGAACCCTGTCTAACACATCCCTAAATGCTTCCTCTCTCCCCCCACCTACTATCATGATCCGAATTCTACCTTCCAAATCTGGCTAGACCAGAGGATGTACACTGGTACAGATAGGAACTGGAAACACAGGGAATCCAGGGCGGATGATCCCTTCAGGACCAGTGGTGTGAGTGGCGATACTGGGAGGGTCGAGGGAGAGTGGGCTGGAAAGAGGGAACGGATTACAAGGAACTACATGTGACCTCCTCCCTGGGGGACAGACAACAGAAAAGTGGGTGAAGGGAGACGTACGACAGTGTAAGATATGACAAAATAATAATTGATAAATTACCAACGGCTCATGAGGGAGAGGAGAGCGGGGAGGGAGGAGAAAAATGAGGACCTGATGCCGGGGGCTTAAGTGGAGAGCAAATGTTTTGAGAATGACGAAGGCAATGAATGTACAAATGTGCTTTACATTGCGATAAGAGTTGTATGAGTTCCTAATAAAACGATTAAAAACAAAAACTGAAAGGGTACTTTTGATACATTACAAAGTATGGTGGCAAAGTAGATAAGCATTCGCTCCCACCTGGAGGCTGGCAATTTGAACCTACCAGTCACACCATGGGAGAAAGATGTGGCAGTCTGCCCCTGTAAGTACTTGTAGCCATCCTTGGGAACCCTCTAGGTCAGTTTACTGTCTGATGAATTGGAATTCACTTGATGGCACAGGTTTGGGTTTGAAAATATTAATTCCATTTCCCTACCCTCTGCCTTCACCAACTGAATCAGAAGTCAAATGGCAACTAGCAGAAATGAATACTGCTGGTCCTTCACAGCAAGGTTCCCAAAGCAAACACAGCTGTAGCACAGAAACAGACAGGAAACTCATTGAAAAGATCTGATTCAAAGGAAAATGATTACAAAATAAATATGATGGCACGCCCCCCCCCACCCCCTTGCCCTGTCTCCAAAACCAGTCTATAGGGCAGGCAGAGGAGGTTAACAGAGAATTGACAAAATAATTGGGGGGAAAAAAGAGAAATTCAAATTAAGAAAAAAAAATCTTATTCACAAAAGTCCCAGAGGAGAAAAGGCAGAAATCTGCATAATGAAATGGCAAATGTAGTGGCATTTTAAAACAATTAAAAGAAACTTAAAAAATCTCAGTTAAGGTTTGGAAGACCATGAGTACAGAATAAAGACCCTTCAGACACCGTAGCGGGCAAGATAGAGGGAGGTGTGGACTTTCAGACAACACTAAGATGAGGAGGCACTTTTCTATGACTACAAAGTTCTGAGGGGAAAATATCATTGCGATTAAGGAATTTTATACTCCACTGAACAAAGACATACTCAAGGCATTATCAAACATTAAATAAAATACCTGCAGTCCCTTAAAAAAAAAAAAGTACCAGAAGACACTAGTCAGCTGTGAACCAAATCAAAACAATGGGCAGACAGGGCACAGTTGAAATGAGAAGCGAGTTAAGTGGCATGGCAGGTGTCAATATCTAAATGACTTTTAATAAACTAACATACAGTTGATACGCCTCTGATGCATGTTGGAGACCTGATCTGGTTCTCAACATTTTCTGTCATTTTTATAGCTATCTTAATAATCCATAGCACAATCACATCATCAAGCAGTATTGAACAACTGTCACAGTCAGTTTCAAAACATTTTCTTTCTTGAATTCCTTGATATCAGCTCCCCTTGATCCCCACCGGACCCCACAGGAACCCTTATTTATTTGTTTACAACATCCAATATATCCATTTACATACAATTCTGTTGCTCACTCCCCTCAAGGAGCATTATAAAGTCATCAGCACTATCTGAGGCTGCTAATCTTTATGGGGGCAGAAGGCCTCATCTTATTCCCAAGGAGCAGCTAGTGAGTTGAATTACTGACCTTAAGGTTAGCATCCAAGATGTAATTCACTATGCCACCAGGGCTCCTAATTATTAGAGATTCTTAATAAGAAGTGAGGGATAAGGTGTAGTCTCTTAACCTCCACAGTACATTTTAGGCAAGAAAACTTTGTCATGAAAGTTTCCATGTACACTCCAAGATGTCCAGCCACTTCCTTGGTCTTTACTTACTAGGTGACAACAGGAATCCCTCAGCCATGACAATCAAAAGTACCTCCAGACACTGTCAAATGTACTCGGGGAACAAAACAGACCCTACCTGGGAATGACTGCTTTGAAGTGTTGTATTTTGTTAACATGAATGTTCTAATTTTTAAAAAAAAAGAATAGCATGGTTCAGGTAAAAATAAAGCCACACCCTAAAAGAATGAATAAATAAAACCTTTTTAAATGGGAGAAAGTTAAGTTTCAAAGTGATTTTAACAAATGAGCAGTATTTGAGAGACCACTCCTTCACTGTTATCAGAATCATCTGGAAAGCTTTGCTAAAAGTACAAGTGCCCAAATTTCATCCTGATAACCGGAGTACTGTGATTAACAACACGAGTGGGTCTGAGAATATTTTTTATTCAATAAGGTAGCCAGTACGTCATATTTTTTTATACACTTATCTGCAGTTACCTATTGCCTATGAAGTAAGGTGCCTATATAATGACCCCAACCCAAACTCATTGCCATCTAGCCCATTCCGATTCATAAGGACCCTACAGAACAGCCTCCTTTGCGGTTTCTGTGACTTAAAGTCTTTACAGGAGAGACAGCCTCCTCTTTCTCCTATTTTAGCAAATGGTGGGTCTGAACTGCTGACCTTGTGGTTAGCAGCTGAAAACACCACCAAGGCTCTTATAAAGAATAAATTACTACCAAATTCCTCCCAGTGTTTTTTGTTGTTGTTGTTGAGTCCCTCATGTGGCTCACTCTGCACCAGGAATATAGTTCGGTTACTATATTAGCATCAATTAAGCTGGTCCCATTACATGATAATCTTTGGAATAATCTGAAATTGCTAGCCAACAGAGTTTCCTAATCCTTGGGACACGGACAAGAATATTTAAAGAAAGCCAAACTGATAGAAAAAAGTCCATGGTGTTGCAGGCTGTACTGTATAAATTTCCATTCAAAGTACTTATGGATACATGAGGCTTTGAAAACAAACAATTTTTTCAAATTCTACCTTTTTAAAAATAAATCATTTTATTGGGGGTTCCTATAGCTCTTATTACAATCCACACATCAATTGTATCAAGCACAACATATGTTGCCATCATCATTTTCAAAACATTTTCTTTGTACTTGAGCCCTTGGTATCAGTTCCTCTCCCCCACCTGGCAGTCTCCCTTCACTCGTTTCTGTTGTTTGCTCCCCCCCACCACCCACCCACCAGGGTGGTGGTAATACTTAGATCGCTGTGATCAGTTCCCACTTTATCCTCCCACCTTCATGGTATCGCTACTCCCATTATTGTTCCTGATGGGTTTAACGGTCCTGGATTCCATGTGTCAAGAAGTCTTATCTGTACCAGTGAACTGAGGGGACAGAGAGTAGGGGGTGGGTGCAGGGGGAGGAAGCATTAAAGAACTAGACGTAGGGGTCCTCAAACTTTTTAAAAAGGGGGCCAATTCACTGTCCCTCAGACCCGTTGGAGGGCTGGACTATAGTTAAAAAAAAAAACTATGAACAAATTCCTATGCACACTGCACATATCTTATTTTGAAGTAAAAAAACAAATGGGGCAAAAACACCCGGTGGGCCGTAGTTTGAGGACGCCTGAACTAGAGGAATGCTGTGTTTCGTTGGTGCTATAGTCAGTGCTATACTACACTGGCTGGCTCATCCTTTCCTTGTGGCCATTCTTTGAGGGGATGTCCAATTGTCTACAGATGGGCTTTGGGTCCCCAATCCAACCCCCGTCATTCGCATCGATATAATTGTTTCAGCAAATTCTACTTCTAAAAAGAGAATCAGAAAAATATTTCTTTAAATTGTTCATGCTTACTTGAAGAAATAGCAGGTGTGTGTAACAGATGAAAATGTGTATGCCTAAAACATACAACTTTACAGGTAGGCTTTTATCTAAATTGTTGATCATTTACTTACCTGATCACCTCGTTTCAATCCAGTATCTGCAGCTTTGCTACCAGGCTCTACTCCCTCCACAAAAATACCGAACCCCTTCTCACTTCCTCCAGTGAGGCTGAAATGCAGAGGAGATTCCCGGGAAGCCTTCTGCAGCACAACTTGCCTCCATTTAGCCTTTGCAGCACAGGCAATATTTAACAACCGAAGATGACCATTCATTTTCTATAAAGTAGAAAAGGGTAAAAATGTCTACTCCTACAGGTGCTTTTTTGTACAAAATAAACAGGTCAAAGCACAATAAAATTAGGCCAAGAATATGATCTCTTAATATGATTTTCAAGGACTTCTAGATAATTACAAGTTAGAAAAGATTACAAAGAGATGCTTCACTTAATGGGGGATAACAGAAAATTACTTCTCAATAAGAATTATACCCTATACATACTCTATTCCTAGCTTATCTCTTAACTGTTAAGAATCTTTTAAAACCTTTATCCAAAAAAATCGAACCACTTTACCCAATACTCTCTAATACGAAAAAACATATCATGCCTCCACCACATCAAAAGAATGAGTTAACTATTTTAGGTCTTCTGTAACATATTAACAATTAGGTGTTAATATTAGTTTAATATTTGATTATTCTCAAATACTAGTGTACTATATGTATATCTCATGACAAGAAGCTATTTTTGGGGGAGGGGGCAAGATCAAGTCTTACACTTCTTTTGATCCTATGCAACAGTGAGGAGTATTAATAATTCAATAAACACTTGATGACTCATTACTGAAAAAAGTCCCATGGCTGTATGACAATGTAGACATTCTGTTTGTTCTTTGTACATATTCTGCACTGCAGATATCAGATAAAAGCTGGTGGTGAACCTCTATGACTTATTTATCAAGTCTCCCAGACCCTGTTCATTCTCCCTAGTTTGTGTACAGGATATGTGTTGCTGAGATGGGTACAGGGACCTAGGCATAAAAAGAAGCAAATGCCAATTTTTCTTTCTTCGTTCAACTTAATCAACCTAGGCTTTACGAAAGTAACTATAGTTCTTGAACATTTGCTATGTGCCCAGTTCTATGGACATTATGTTCATTATTTCGTTTGAATTCTAACAATTCTAATAAACTAGAGATTGCATCCACTAATATAAATAAGACAACTGAGATATCAAAGCATTAAGAAAAAGTGAAATAAAGTACAATGGGAGGCGTAAAAGTCTTAATGTAGATCTCTATAATGTAAAATAAACCTTGAAGATGGCATAGCATTTCAAACTGCAGGCTTGGGAGAGGAGAATTAGAGCTTGATCTGAGATACAGAAGCAGCAGAAAGTCAAATACTCTTGAGTGCACAGGAAAACCGGCAAAAAGACAGGCAAAGGATCTGACTAGTTGGGGAAGCAGTTAGTCCTGGGTTCCTCAGAAGGCTACTTTAAGGAGTCACCCCACAGTCATGGGCTTTCAAGTTTTATATAAAACAGCCTAGTACTGGCATATAAATGATACAAATCTTCCATATACATTATATCATTTGATTACATGTAAATAGCTTTTTAGGCACCATCTTATCCAGTGGTTCTCAACCTTCCTAATGCCGTGACCCTTTAATTCAGTCCCTCATGTTGTGGTGACACACCAACCATAACATTATTTTCGTCGCTACTTCTGAACTGTAATTTTGCTACTGTTATGAATCGGGCGACCCCTGCGAAAGGGTCATTCGACCCTCAAAAGGGTTGCAACCCACAGGTTGAGAACCGCTGATCTTAGCTTTTGACGGACTGCTTTGACCACTAGTTGCCAGTGCCACGCTCCCCCTACCCCACCTATTTTCTTCTGCTTTTAGTTGGTTGAATCTGAGCATGGGAACTTGCAGACTGCCCATATTGCTATGGTAGGTAAAAAGACTTACTTAGAGATAATATTCACCACAATGTGGGTTAAAAACAATCTTTGAAAAAAAATTAAAAATTAAAAAACAAAAGAAAAAAGCAATAGCTTTACATTTTGATATTTTTGTTTAATAAATTTTTTTGTGATTTTGTAGCAAAAAAAAAGATTAAAAATTATAAAAATGACTTGGGGAAAAAAACCTCAAAAACAATCTTTTGGCTACATATAATGGACTAGAAGAAAATGAGACTAGAATTAAAACCATTTTGCAGATTAAAAGGAAGTGTCTGAGAGACACTGAAAAACAAAAACCTGTACATGACATAATCAGTGACCCAGGAGACTTGAGCAGCTAACTATAGCTCGTTAGGCCAGTTAATTCAGGGGAAAGTGAGAGCAATCCACATACAACGGCAGGATTAATAATCTGCATGACGGGTAGAACACCAATGCTAAACAGAAACAAAATCGCCAGGATAAAGCATGATGACAGGTTTGGGAGATACAGGAAGAGTACTCGTATAGAAAACTAGATACGCAAGTTCTCAGAATAGATTCAATACATGGGAGAAAATGAAAAGTGTTCTGAATTGAGATTATCAGGATAAGCCCTAAACACTAAAGAAATTATTATTTTTGAGCCTTACTGTATCTTCCAGATATTTTTCAAAATCCTCCAGAAATCGAGTCATAGCAGGATCACCTTCAAAATCATTAAAATGATTATTTACCCATAATAATACGATTCGTGTGACCTGTAGAAACATGGAGGAAGCATATGGTTATGAGCGAAATTACCTCTAACTCTGTAAAAGTGAATTCCAAGAGCACGCTCAAAACGTAGAGGGGAGAATCAGGGCTCTATGGATAAATGCCAACCACAGAAAGCTCATTCTAGTATTGGGGGGCCGAGGCAGGGGGTAGAATCATTTAGTTTGAACTTTTGTTTCCTTGGTTATACAAATAGCAGTGCTTTATGCTTTGAGGGACAAAGCACAGGCCTGTGTACTTATTAATAAGTAAGAAGTACCTGAGATGTATATTCCAGATCTTGCCGACCTACTGCTGTTAAGTTGCTTCTGACATACAGTAGCCCTCTATGGGGTTTCTAAGTCTGTAAATTTTTGCATGATCGGACAGGCTCATTTTTCTCTCAAGGTATGGCTGGTGGTTTGAACCACTGATCTCGTCCTTAGTAATCTAATGCCCACCCAAATCGTCAATGAGGGTTCATATATTTCAAATAAGTTTCTTAAAAACGAAAGCTTCTAAGTGCATGCAAGTAAATATAAAAAAGAATTTACATAAAAAAGAATGTTTAATCAAGATGATAACAAAATAACTGAAATGTCCTTTACTACAAATACTTCATTTGCAAAGTGGTGATTTAATTTGTCTATATGTTCCATAGAATAGTAAAAAAAATTAAAAATAAACAAAGGAAGCTGCTCTGACTAATAGGCCTAATTAAGAATCATAATGTAAGTAATAATTTTAAAAACCGTGTTATAAGGCAGATAACAATGTCACCACCTGAATCATTTTAAAATGCACAATTCAGTGCCAATTACTACACTCACAGATTTTAATTTCTAAACATTTCCATCACTCCCAAAGGAGTCTCTGAACCCGTACAGCAGTCACTCCCTATTGCCAACCACTAACCTGCTTTCTAGATATTTAATATACTCTAAAACTCCAAATTCACTGCCACTAAGTCGGTACCAACTCAAAGATCAAATTAAATAATATGTGGCTATTTTGTGTACAGCTACTTTCATTCACTTAGCATGACATTTCTGAAATCCACTTGTGTTGTAACACACAACACTGTTTCATCGCTTCTGGCCCTGGTGGTATTGTTGGACTGTTAGACACACACAGTTGGTAGTTTAAACCTAAAAGCTTCTCTACAGAAGAAAGATGAGGCTGTCCTGTACCCTGTAAAGATTTACAGCCTTGGACACCCTACATAGGGTTGCTGTGAATTGGAATCAATGAGACAGCAGTGGGTTTGGTTTTGCTTTGGTTGATGATAAAATAAGACTGAGCATCTTTTAAGATGTTTGTTGGCCATTGGCATACTTTCTTCGGAGAGATGTCTGGTCAAGTCCTTTGTCTATGGATTGTTGTTGAGATTTCAGAGTCCTTTTTTATTCTGGACACTAAGCCTTTACCAGATACCTGATTTGCAAATATTTTCTCACAATTTGTGGGTTGATTTTCAGTCTTAGAGTATCTTTTGATGCGTAAAATTTAAAATTTTGAAGCCAAATTAATTTTATTCTTTTGCTGTGAGATTGAAGAAACCACTAACAAAGCCAGCATATTCTATATATGTTAGTATCTGAAGTAACAGAATTCTACAATCTACCTGGATCTAATTCATTTCTTTAAAATAACACAGAAGGGCATACCAGGCACTCATGTCCTTATTTTTTAAAAATAACCTACTTCCATCAATTTTCTATTAGTGTTTGCAATAAATACATAACCGCATTTAGGTGGTTCCCAGGTAATGAATGAAATCTATTCCTAAGTGTGTCTTTAAGTGCAAATGAGTTTTGAAGTCGAAGTTGAAGTAAGTTGAACAGGTGTCGATGGTTCTTACTTAGCCTTACTTTTGTGAAAGAAAAGGCTTGTCAATAACTTAAAATCTGCATGTGCAAATGAGCTGATACCAAGTGCTCAAGTAGAAAGAAAATGTTTTTAAAATGATGATGGCAACATATGTACAAGTGTGCTTGACACAATAGATGTTATGTATGGATTGTGATAAAAGCTGTATGAGCCCCCAATAAAATGATTAAAAAAAACCCAGCAACCTGCGTGTGCAGCAAACAAAGGTAACTGTGATGAAGAATGTCTTGCTAGTAAGGTATGGTACTGTCAGTCAAATCCAGGGCAAATTTACATAGTATTACTGGGTATGTAAGAACTGTCAATATGCTAAGAATTCATAACAGGGGATTTACCTATACCATTAAATGAGATATACTTAAAGTAGTTAACAGAATTTAATTAAAAAACGATAAAGTCTGTATGCAATTCAGAAAAATAAAGGCATTCTATTCGAGGCTTAAAAACCATATAACCTCTAATAAGCCATTTTTTAGTAAATATTCTTTCTAAAATACGAATCAGCTTTTACATATTTGCTTGAGCTCCAGAAAAAAACAAATCTCTTAGTAAAGTTCTAAAATCACCTTATGTGACTATATCATGTTTTCTGAATATATAACTATTCTAGCTTTTGCCTTTTAAGGTTCAGATCCATTTTTAACACGCTATTTTGTCATAAAAGTAAGCACAGATATGTCTATCCTAATTTTTTTTAAATAAATTGAATCCTGCTATAAAAAAGTAACATCATTTAGTTGTAAAAGACTTTATTAGTAACATTTAAAGTTTAAAAATCATTTTTTGTGCTCTAATATTTACAAAACCAACCTTATCCCGTAAGCTGTCAATTTTAAACCATTCTAGTAGTTTGATCCCAACATCCAAAGGGCTTTCAAGAAATGTCCTGTATGTTAATAGGAAGTCTTCTATATAAGTTGGATCCACAATGGAATGCTCTTCTATTAAATGCATGATGAGACGCTCAGGTGTTGCCTAAAAATCCAAAGATAGAAAAGATTAAGAAAGGTGAAGAAAGAGGATGGTGCCCGGCTATCAAAAGATGTAGTGTTTGAGATCTTAAAGGCTTGAAGATAAACAAGCAGCTATCTAGCTGAGAAGCAGCAACAAAGTCCACAGGGAAGAAGCACACCAGCCTGTGCGATCATGAGGTGTTGATGGGATCAGGTATCAGGCATCAAAGACCCAGAACAAAAATTCCTATCAATGTGAATGAGGGGGAGTACGAGTGGAGACTCAAAGACCATCTGTAGACAATCAGATACCCCCTTACAGAAGGGTCACAAGGAAGAACTGAGTCAGTCTGGGTGCAGTATACCACCGTTGAAGTATGTAACTTTCCTCCACTTCTTTAATGCTTTCTCCCCCCTACTGTCATTATCCCAATTCTATCTAACAAATCCCAGCTAGACCAGAGAAAGTACACTGGTACAGATAAGAGCTGGAAACAGAGAATCCATGGCAGATAACCCCTCAGACCGATAATGAGAGTAGTGATACCAGGAGGGCAAGGGAAAGGTAGGGGGAGAATGGGGAAACCCATCACAATGATCTGGCCCGACAACAGAAAAGTGGGTGAAGGGAGACATTGGTCAGTGTAAGACATGAAATAATACTAATAATTTACAAATTATCAAGGGTTCATAAGGCAGGGAGGGTGTGTGAGGGAGGGCAAAAATGAGGAGCTGATAACAAGGGCTCAAATAGAAAGAAAATGTTTTGAAAACGATGATGGCAACTTATGTACAAATGTGCTTCACACAATGGACGTATGTATGGATTGTGATAAAAGCTGTACGAGCCCTCAATAAAATGATAAAAAATTATTAGAGAAAAAAAACCCTCAGCAACCAAAGAACTTCCGCTGATTATTCTCTCTTATAACTAGCTGCTCTTTACAGTAGCATTTCACTGCTACACTCTCAGCATTGGGAACAGGTAGTCTCACTAAACTGAAATCCACTCGCGCTTAGAGGTTTGGAGAAAGGAAAAGAAGAGGAATAAATACCCAATCGCATTTATTCCTGTTTTCATTGTCAACTCCCCACACTAAGAACACACTGGTATTACCCTGAGTGTGGGTTTGTCCTACTACAGCTCCATGGGGCATGCAATGACTGCTCCGAGGCAAAAGTTACCGTAAACTTTAAAAAAAAAGACTTCTTCCAAATGTAATTCACCTCAAATTCTTCTGCCTCAACTCAAGAGAGCCAGTTTCACTGTTGTTGCTAGCTAGTTCCTAGAGCAGAGATTTTCTCTTTAATAGTTTCTCTTAGCTAGTCCTAGTTTTTTATATTAATTCAGAGTTTTAAATGCTTTGCCCGACTCCAAATTTATGGAAAGGTATGCTAATAATCTCCAATTATTCCTCTTGGAGCTTTAGAACCAATGTTAGAGTGTAGGCTTATCAAAAGTGGCATAAAGAAAAAACCATTAAAACAAACCAGATGTTAAGTTTAACATGGGACTAAATTTTGTTCCTGACTCTAAATTTCAAATAATCTGAGAAATTATATGGTATAAACTGTTTTTATCTAAATTTATTTTAAAACTTTTTGAGGTATACACTGCTAGATCATATATATATATATAACTCAGTAATACAAAGTTAGATATAAAGCTCTTCATAAAGTCTATGAGTCACAGTGTTTACATGTTGGGCTGCAAACATGAGGTTAGTAGTTTGAAACTACCAGCCTTTCTGTGGGAGAAAGATGAAATGTTCTACCCCTGTAAAGAGTTAGGGTCAAAGAAATCCACAGGAGCAATTCTAGTCTGTCTTATAGGGTCACTATGAGTCAGAAATGACTCAATAGCAGTGAATGAGAAAAGACTTTAAATATAAGAATAACAAATTGGATATGTCACTTAGTCCAATCACAGTTTGGAGTTGCTTAAATCTGGTTCATAGATGATCGTTAAGTCACAGCTGGGCAATCATAAACATCGTAGAGACAGCACGACATGCTGGAAGGATGGCAGTACACAGGTGGCAAGTGAAGAGAGTCATGCTTATACTGTATGGTGGCAATTGGTTACAATTAACAAGTAAATACACTGAGCATATTAACGTACACTAGTAATGAGACAGGTTGGCATTCTTTGTTTCCTAATATTATGATATCACTGAGGGCAACACGGCATCATTTCTGTGGAATTCTTATCAGAAAAGGATAACTTAAGTCTTAGGGAGGAAACACTAGACAGATCCAAATTAAGGGGCATACAAAAGAATGTAAGATCTATATTATTAAAATAAGAACAATACAGGCAGAAGGAGGAACCATTCTGATTAGAGTGAAGAGACTGGAAAAATATATTTAACTTGTGTTTCTAGATGAGATTCTAAATGAGAAAGGAAAACAGCTCATGAGTTCTGAATAGGTCTGTAGGCTGAATGGTATTGCTTTATCTGTGATTTGTTTTTTAACTTGAAGGGGCTCTATGAGAATTATAACAGCACGTGCTCTTGTTTTTAGGACACACTGGAATATTTAGGAATCATGAGAAATAACATCTGCAACTTGCCTTCAAATGGGGAAGAGCAAACGGAGTGAAATGTTATCTGTTGGAGAATCTGGGTGAAGCAGCTCTCTATACTACTGCTGCAACTTTTCCCTATGTAATAAACTATTCAGAAGCATGAACCCCATTAACAATATAAATCAACTTAAAAAATCAAAAGTATATACAATATGGCAGTCAACCTGTGCTCTCATCAAAGCTTGAGCTTCACAGCTTAGAAAGAAAGAAGTTTTGAGAAACAGCCTAAATTTAGTTGAGGATGAACAGATCAGCCATCAAGACAGATAATCTCTCTGCTTTATCTCTTAATATTATTAAGTAAACAGCTGCAGTTGTAATTAATAATAACTTTTCCTTATTTTGCAATCAAAATGGGTTTGGAAAAGGAAACAGTCATGCATCTATCTCCTCTTTTTCAATTATAATTGCTCTATTTCATATCCAGTGGTTTGGAGAGAAACTAGAATAAAAAGGGACGAGAAGAGAAAAATCATACGGTGATTAATACTCATACTTTATGTGTGCTAAGACTTTGATTTACCTCATTTACTCCTTGTAAGACCCTGTTTTCTCACCTTCATGTTTAGTTAGGAAAAGTAAGCTTGAGAAAAGCCAATACTTACTTCAATACCATGGAGATTCATCCAGCAAACACTAAGCATCTTCACCTATTATTCATATGCCTCATAGCTGGTCTTTTCATTTTCTTTTGTTTCAAAGCATTGCAAGCTTTGATAAATTTAATGGCAATTACCACAAAACATATTTGAGGGAAAATCTTGACTGGAATATTCTAAAATATGATTCTACCTATACTGATATTAAATGGCAACAGGTTACCTGTCCATCAAGATGTATAAAAATCAAATAAGAAGAGGCAAATGAGTCAACACATTTAATTGAATTGTCCTGCACTACACAAAAAGTGTTTCGAAATCTCTTAAGCAAGTTGAAACCTTTGCTGTGAGAAGAGTAAGAACAAAAGATCACTCACCTTGATTACAATGTGTCCCTTTCTGGTTCCACTCCGGTCTAGTTCTCGATGCTCATGTACCATAACAATTTCTCCTTCTTCTTCAACTTTATGAGTATTTTTTTCCACATGATTTAAAATTCTCCAATAATCCTGCTGAGCTATGCAGACGAACTGTCCGAGAACAACGTGGGGACAATTAATGAATCTGTAGTACATAAATATATCACTGTGCACCAAGGCAGAGCACAAAGGTAGGAAATCAAGTGGCATCAGTTCTTTTTTATTCAATCCCTTTAGCAAAAAAGAGATGAAATATATAATTCACACTCAAAAAGGGCAAAGATGTCCAATCTGTTTTGAATTCTGCAGTAAAAGGAGAAGTGAACATTTACTTCTCTCAAAACTGATACGATGCAAGGAAAACACGAGGCAAGACTAAGAAACAACCCAGCAGTTCCTATTTTTTCCCCTTTATTTTTTTAATTTTCAAAAAAGACAGAGTTAGAAGACAGAAACGTAACAAATCAACATCTTTTGGGCACATTCTCTTTTATAAACATATCTTTGTAACAGACATAGTTTGCTAAATTCCAAAAATATTTGAATTGGATATCAAAATCTTTTTTTTATGAAGAGGCAAGTTTTGGGACTCCTAATTCTTAAGTATAGTATTTTACTTTTAGGAAGGAAAAACCAGCTTAGCCATTTTTCAATAAATGAACAAACAAGAGTACTCAACCAAAGAGATAAGCTTACCTGACAATCATCTACTTTAGTTCTGACAACTCCATGCATATACTGTTTATCCAGAGTGGGAGTAATTCCAAAACTATTTCCCATAAAGAGGTTTTCAATTTTTCCACCTGAATGACTGATTTCTACAGTGCCGTTTAAAATAACATACCACGAGTCAAGCTATAGAAAAAGAACAAAGGTTTAAAGAATCCTTTTTAACAAGTTTTATATTAACTTCGAAAAAAGAAACTATGGACAATATCTGGGACAAAGTAGTCACTCAATAAATACTTGCTGATAAAACTATGGATAATTGGCGGCTCATACATCTTGGCGCGTCTCAAACGCCGCTGCCTTTCCAAGACGTCGAGGGACGGGAAAGAGGAGACTGGTTTTCGATATGTTCTATTGGTTGAGTTATTTCTGCCCTGCGGACGTTCAAGAGACTTTTTGTGTCTCCCGAACTTGACCCGAACGCTGGACGCGTCCGCCTACAGCGTGCTCCGAATGGATTCTCCCGTCTCCCGGGCAACGCTCTGCTACAAAGGTCTGCCGGGCGGAACGCTCGCCGAGGAGCTTCCAAGCGTGGCCGTCCGGCCGCGCGCTGGCGCAGAGAACCCTTCCCCACCGCCTACGGAATCGGACCGAGCCGGGGTGGTCCGACCCCGCTTGTGGGATTGGGTGCCTTTCTGAGAGGTGAACTGACCCTTGTGTCCGCTAGGTGATGCTTCTTAGGTGCTCGGACTCCGAGCCTCTGTGTCCCTGGTGAGAAAGAATCCCTTCATGAGACGTAACTTCCCACAGGAGAATAATTTGCCTCGTGGGAAATAATTGGCGTCATCACTTAAGCCAGAAGTGTCCAGCCCATCCGTGGCCTCACGCAGCACTTTCCCTTCTTACGTTCGAAGACGACTGGGCAGGTTGCAAGGGCACGGTTATAGGTCACGTAGCTTATCTCTGAGTCAAGCTCAGTGTGTGAGTTCCCTGTGAGCAGGGACTCCGCCTTTAACAGCCACAGACAAGGTTTCTTGGCTTCTCCTAGTGGGTATGACGCGGGGATGAGATTTGCAAAGTGGCTGCTAAATAAAGTGACTGAATTAAAAAAAAAACAAAACAAAAAAAACTATGGATAATTAAGAGAAAATAAAAATGCATGTGTGGTGGGGGTTGGGGGGGAGCTTTGTTTATTTCCAATATGCATATATACCTGTTCTTCATGTATTGACTCATTATCTGGCATTTACATTTACAACAAAAGAATCTACTACTTCACTCTCAAGCATTCAAGATGTATAACCATCAGTAACAAACAGAAGTGTGAGGCGAGAGTAAAGCCGGCTGTAATGGCCAAGGTTATATGTCACCTTTGCTGGACCATGCTCAGTAGATTGAGGATTGTGTATTAATGTCATTTGGTAGTTATGTAATGATGCATCATCTTCCATTTTCGCATAATGACCTATCCATATTGTTAAGTGAGAACTAGGTATATTATTTTGTAATGTTGAAATAGTTACACTACCCTGCTTTTAAAACTTAATATATATACTTGTTCATCAAACACTTTTTAAAACCATCTCCCATATGCTTAAATGTTTCAGATGTTTTCTAGGATGCGGGTAGAAGGCATTAAAACTAAAACTTGAGACAAAGTACCTGCCTTCAAAGACCTTCCATCAAATATTTCTAATCTTTACCAATTTGATAAGAAATATAGTGAAAATTTCCAACAGTAGTAATATCTTTCGATCTTTCTGCATTCTCTCTCCACCTATCCAAGTAAATATTCAAGTATTTTTGAAAAAAAGAATTTCCAGTTATGCTTCAATTGGTAGCAGTTCACTAGGAAGAATGGGTTCCAATATATTTTAATCCTTCTTTTAGAAAATATGTTATAAAATGAAAACATTTTGAATGACAGAAACACATAAATAGAATAATAATAATAAAACCCTTACACCCCAATTTGAAAAGTGAAAATAAACTGTTTCAGTGAATATTATTGACTGAGCATCTATTGCTAGAAAATAAAAATTACAGCAAAGTAAATAAAATAAAACACACACACACAAAACACCTTATCTTTCAGAAACCCTAATTATCTCACACTCAGCATTCACATAATTTCAAGTTAAGATTTATGCAATTTTTAGAAAGTAAAATGCTCTAAAATTAGTTCCATAGTAGACAATATTTATTTGCTAACTTACCTCTTCCCCATCTTCAAGAATAACAGCCCCAGCCTGCTCTACCACTTCGAAGATCATCACTGAGCAGAGTTCTCTCCTTACAGACATGGTCATGTTTGCAAAAGCAGGGAGCTGATGCATAAACTCCAGTAACTGTTCTATAAGTGAAAAAGAAATTCTAGTATAAGGATAACAAGTAAATCCTAAAATTCAATACCGAATGGCTTAAGAATATGCTTCTGTAGAAAAATGACTGCCATGTAGAAAAACAAGTGCAATTTATACCAGTTATATAATTTATACATATATTCAAACTTATATATAATGATGGGTATACTGGAAGAGAGCTGGGAAACTGTTCAGCTCGACATTCAACATCTCATTGTTTCAGAGTCATAGAGACAGGGTAGAATGGTCCCGCGGACTGCTGAGATTCTAACTCTTTAAGGGAGTAGAGAGCCCAGTCATTCTCCCTCAGAGCGGCCGGTGGCTTCAAAGTGCTGACCATAGAGTTTAATAGCCCACAGGAAAGAGCTTATCTAATTTTCCTAGCCTGAGATGTTACCTCATGGCGGCTGGGTCAAATGCCCTTTGATCTAACAGGGGTCCTCAAACTTTTTAAACAGGAGGCCAGTTCATTGTCTCTCAGACCCGTTGTAGGGACGGACTATAGTTTAAAAAAAAACTATGAACAAATTCCTATGCACACTGAACATATCTTATTTTGAAGTAAAAAAAACAAACGGGGCAAAAACACCCATCAGGCCCCATGTGGCCCGCAGGCCGTAGTTTGAGGACGCCTGATCTAATAGATTAACCTAATGTTAGTCTAGTTGTTAATGAGCTAGAGTTTTAAAAAAAAAAACCCTATTAATGAATGTGAATAATTAAGAGATAACAAGCATGAGTTAGATCTTAATGTTTGTCCAAGAGAGTAAGCGAGTACAAGATAAACAGCTTTTAATGTAACCAGCAAATAACTTACCTTAGGTTATTCCTTGGGGCATCTACATGAGTAATGAAACTAAATATATGAAAGCTATATATACTTGTGTATAAGCCCGGTTTTTCAGCACCTTTTTAAATGCAGTTTTTGTGGTAAAATTAGGTGCCTGGCTGATATTTGAGTCGGCTTATATTCGAGTATATATGGTACATGAAAGGAGCCCTGGTGGCATAGAGGATTATGCATTGAGTGACTAACTGCAAGGTCAGTAGTTTGAAATCACAAGCTGCTTTGTGGGAGAAAATTAGGCTTTCTATGACTGTTCAGATTTACAGTCACGGCACTGTTAAGATAAAGTCTTGGACACCCACAGGGGCAATTCTACTCTGTTCTGTAGGGTCGCTAAGTCAGAATTGATGTGATGACAGTTGGATTTGAGCTTTTTATTTATTTATTTGAATATATATGTGAAAGTTATGGGCTGCAAGAGATGAATATTCTCACTGCTACTAAGTTGATTTCAACTAACTTGAGAACTAATCATGTTTCATTTTTTACAAAAAAGTCTTGCAACGGCTTATCAGGGACGGAGGGAGGGAAGGGTGAGGGGAATTGGGAAGCAAATAGTGAATGTTAGAGGGAGGAGGGAGCACCAGAACTGATTGTGATGATGTAGATACAACCCTTTCTAAAAGCAACTTAACAATGAAGTGTATGATATGTGCATTTTATATCAATAAAACTATTTTTTAGAAAAATTTTGTTAAAATAGCATAGTATATAATTTCTTATCAATAAAAATGCACTTTCAATTTGTCTGGACAGTGATTACAAATTTACATCTAAATTGATTTAGTAACTATGTCGGTCTTCAGCATATTCCTTCACTCACATTATTAATAGCAATATTAATAGCACCCATCTTCTAATATGATTAACACCAGTATGATTAGTGTGATAGAGAGCCCGGTCAAAGTAATTATACATTAGGATGGCCTCCTAATAGAATTATAACAATATACCATATATCCTCGTGTATAAGCCGAGTTTTCCAACACATTTTTAATGCAGTTTTTGTGGTAAAATTAGGTGCCTTGGCTGATATTCAAGTCAGCTTATACTCGAGTATATATGGTATATACAGTAATCTTTGTTCCTTAAAGAATATACTAGTATCCTCAGTATCAGTAACATCCTAAGCAAAGGACAGTAGTTAGTTCTATCAGACACTGTATAAAGGAAAATTCAATGTGCTTCACACAATGGATGTATGGATGGATCATGATAAGAGTTGTTCGAGCCCCCAATAAAATGATTAAAAAAAAAAAAAAAGGAAAATTCATAGTTCTAACCAAAAATTTCAAAAAACACATGTTCAAGCTAAGGTAATAAAAACATACTTTTTGGCATTCCTTGAAATTAAAAAAAACTACTTCATAGATAATGGAAAGTGTTATACTGCCTTGTGGATACTGAATAAAAGTTTTGTTTTACAGATATGGCAGCCAGGCAGCCTCTAATGACCTCTGTCTCTCATTACTTGTGTTTTCACGTAGTTCCTGACTTCAGTTTACTAAGCTTATTCTGTGATCTAAAACAGCATCACTGGCTGAATGCCACTCCTGAGGCTAGCACCTAAGACATTAATCTTCCTTAGATCACTTGCATAATAATAACCTATGGAGGAACCCACGTGGTAAGGAACTTGTGGTGAAACCCAGGTGAACAGCAATCTTATAAGTAGACCCTCTGGCCCATTCTCAGATGACTGCAGCTCCTGCTCATATTCTGACGACCACGCAACAGGAAACCACAAGATAGGAGCACTGGCTACCCCACTTCTAAATTTCTAACCAAGAGAATCTTCAAGACAGTTAAGTGTTTGCTGTTTTACGTCACTAAGTAATTTGTTATGCAGCAATTGATAGCTAAGACATACATTAGGACATAAAATTCTTTATGCAAACAAATATACTTCTTACCAACGTCATCATCAGTTTTGTCTGCAGGTTCTTTTTCAAGACACTCTCTAACAAGATCTCGCCCCTGCAATGGATCTGTTCGATCAATCTCTTCATCTTCTTCTTCTTCATCCTCAGAATCAACAGGTCCTTCGGGAAGACGAGTCAGATCTACATCTCCTACCTCACTCTCAGTAGCCTAAAAAAAGAAATGTAACCATGCATCATTTCATATCCTACAAATTTGTATCCAGAGGCTCCTTAGGATAAAGGTGGGGTGACCTGCTTCCAAAAGGTCACAGCCAGGACAACAGGTGGAATGAAGTCCAACAGACTCAAATGGGGGTGCCATAGACTTGACAGTAATGCCTCGGTTTGTTTATCCCTCTCAACCAAATGTTACAAAGAAGCTAAGATGTAGTCAATTAATATGGTCCATCTAGCCATAATTCCTTTTGTGATGTATTAGAATTCTGGACTCTGCCTGTGGCTATATGATCCCATTTTGGAGGGAGTACTCTAACAGAAGCCTTGGGCATTGGGCTGCTAACTACAAGGTCAGCAGGTGAAAAATACCAGGCTAGGCTTTTTAGTACCGCAGTCTCCAAAACCTACAGGGGCAGTTCTACCCTGTCCTACAGGGTCACTAGGAGTCAGAATCAGTGTGATAGCAGTGTGTTTGTTTTACACTGTTACAAGATTAAGGTAGGATTAAGTGCTGAGATCACTAGAGGGTGTGAACCAAGTCATACCCTTGGTTTCATTGGGGCATCTTTAAAACTATATTGCTAGAGGATGTGACTAAGATACTATCCTTAGTTCTCCTCAGGGTTATGGTCAACTAAAAGGCAAAAACCACACCTTCATCAAAGCCATTCCTCTGTGTTTGAGAGTCATCTGACCCAAAGAGAGAAGGCCTAGGATCATTTAATGAGCATGTCCAAGATCTGTCTGAAGTGGCTGGGGATGCTAAAAACAGATGCCCCACAGACTGTGGCATGGAGACTGTGAAAGAGAGCAGAAGGACCAATACCAAGACTAAACAAGTGCGAGGTCAGAGTGACAGGTTGGATTCCTGGCCCATGGAGGCAAAGGCCAAGAGACCTCCACTGGCTGACAGGCTGATGACCAGAGAAACTTGCCTGCTTGCTGAGGAGAGGGTTGCTGTGGAACAGCAACTGTATCCTATTTGCTGACCCTACTCATGCTAACCTATCAACTTCCCTAATAAACCCCTTTCATTGTTGAATATTGCCGGTGAATTCAGTGTAGCCATTGCAATAAATTATTGAATCGAGCACAGAAGCAGAGTGCCCTGAAAGGAATGGTTGGGTCTGAAGAGGGCAAAGAAGGGCTCTCGGCTCTGCCTCGTGGCAACAAGGAAGCCAGAGGAAGTTAGCCTCCCCCCACCCCATGCTGTTTATTGCACAGACTGTATTTTATATAATATCAAATATACAGTGATATTGTATTTATAAAAAGTTTCTCCCTGCCAAAAATATAAGTTCATTGTTGCACAGGGTGACATTCATATGGTAAGCCAGCACGTAAGTATAAAATGGTAACAAGGCTCATATTTCACCAAATATATTAATACCTATACTCTAAAAACATATTTTTAAAAGCACAAAATTTCATAAAATACAAAATGTAGTAGAGAAAATAATAAATTATTAACAAACTAATAACCATTTCATGAGCACATTACTATGTCCTGGGGTGCTGTAAAAAAGAGGCCATCCCTCCACATCAGTAGGGTAGTAATCATGCAAATTATGAGCAGAAGAAAAAAAGTGGAGAGTAATTCTGAAAAGTGCTCAAATAGATCCATCCTAAACAGCTGAATTCTCACTATTTGCTAATACCTTATGGTGGATCTCGTATACTGTGCAAAGAGATAGAATTATTGTAATCAATTTTAAAAATAAAATTTTAATTACAACCACAAAGTTAAAATTATATTAGCCTCTGATACTTGTAAAGAAAATAATATATTATAAAAATATTTATAGAAAATATCAGTCATCTTTTAGAAAATAAAATTGTCTTAATTTGGTTTATACTAACATGATTCATATTATAAAAGAAACAAAAATCTCAAAAGTTACTCCCTCTCCTTCCAAAAGAGTTGAATACATGGGCATTTCATAATAATAAAAGGCACTCAAATATTAGTATTAAAAAAGACAAAAAAAGCTTTCATCAAAACATTTAATTCTTCTGTTAGATGGCAATGTCTGCCCAAAGGATGTCTTCCTTCTAGTGGGCAAAGGACCCACACCTGGAACAGACGATTCACAAAGGATGACACTTGAATGGCTAATAAACATGAGGAAATAACCTCATTCACTAGCCATCTGGGAAATGCAAGTCAAAGAACCATGAAATGCCATCTAATACCCATAAGTGTAGCACAATTAAAAAAATCTGAGGACAAATGCCGGAGAGTGTGTGGTGGGATTGGAACTCTTAGGCACTGCTGGTGCGGGCTTGTAAAATGTGCAGCCACTGTGGGAGGCGATATGGCGATACCTAAAACAGATGGCCATTGAACTACCATGACTGGGCATATATCCCAAAGAAATAAGAAACAGATCACCAACAGACGCATGCTCCCCCAGGTTCACCACAGCACAGTTCACAATAGCAAGAAGTTAGAAACAGCTTAAATTCCCATCAGTAGAAGATTGGATTTAAAAACTGTGGTACACATACACAATGGAATACGATGCATCCCTAAAAAACAGATGAAACTATGAAACACTTCAAGACATGGAGGGATCTGGAAGACAATATGCTGAGTGAAGCTAGTCAATCACACAAGGGCAATACTGTATGAGTTCACTACTGTGGGAACAAGCAGCAGGATGGGCACAAGCTCAGGCTTGTAGGACATCCAGTCTGCTGGCCAGTGGGGCCAGACAGCCCAGTACAGAGCCTGACTGGCACCAATTAACCATACACCATGTTCTCTAGGTAAGTATTTTGAAGGTCGCTTTGCCAGAGGGCAACTCACCTCAGTTGGGATCATACCATCAAGGGAAGGGAAGGGAAGGGAGGGGAGGGAAGGGGATGTTATCTATAGAGTGGCTGCCCTGCAAAGCTATGATGAGGTCTTCAGACATGGAGACATCCCTATTAGAGGGATGATGGATCCTGATGGGAAAATCAAGTCAGGAGAGGTGAAAGGAGCAATCATGTCTGGGGGAACACAAATGCATGACTGTTGGTAGGAAAAGGGGGAGGACCAACCTTCAGTTGTGAGGAAGAATGACTGAAAATGCTTTTGGGGAACCAAGGGCGAAAGTGTCCCTGGTGGTAAATACTGAACGGCCACAACAAACTGGGCCTTTGAGTGTATCCTGGGAACCGAGGCTGGGTGCTATGGAATGCTGGGACACTGAATCCGGATCTTGAAGGTACACAGCATGCTCCAAAGGCTGTGTCACAAATCCTATGAATAAAATACACTGGGTTAACTGGCATCTACCTCGGATATACTTGTAATCTGAAGACTGAAGTCGGAAAATACATGGTGTCTGAGGAAGTGGAAGATAGCTGTATTAAGACTGTTGAACTGTTGGTAGCCAGACAAACATGGTCTTGTTATATCAATACCCTATCTGCTGTATTAAGATATGCATTATTCTGGCAAACCTGTGACTGACATTATCAGTGATTATTATTGCAAATTTCCCCTGAAAATTAACCTCCATTGTTTGTGTAAATAGCGTTCAACCACGAAAGGAAATAAAGTGAATAATTCAGGTACCAATTGGCTTAATATACCTCACTCAGCAGGGCTTTAAAAAATTAGTACCAGAGGCTAATCAAAGACAGTATTAACGGAAGATCGTTAAGTTCCAAGGGGATGATCGTTAATAACCTAGCAAGGAGGTTTTGAAAGGGAGTCAAAGGTAGATAAACAAGCAAACATACATAGATTCAGGAATGGGTTTGGGGTTTGCACTAAATCCTAGCTACAATTTAAAAACAACGAGCAATTACATCCTGCTTGATACTCACCCTCAGGAAGGGAACACAGAAAATATGGGTGCTATAGCAAAATGTAGTGAAAAAAGCACATGGTGTGACTATCAGACAAAATAGCGTCTGGGATTTAAAGGCTTGTCTCTACACAAGCAGCCATCTAAGTGAGATGTCAAATAAGTGCACATGGAAGAAGCACACCATCATTAGTCACAGAAGGATTTTAAATCTTATAATCCAAAGTTGAAGGAGGGTTCAGTATTAGAGTCTATTGTGAGATTCCAGTTTGCAGAAGGTTATGGATGACAGTGATAGCCCAAAATACATTTGTGAGACGTACATAGGAAATAAGCTTCCGGTAGGCCTGGTAGGGCATGATCAAGGGGAATGTAACAAAGAGGAAGTCATGAAACCCTGGTGGGGACTGAGCATGGTAGTGGGACAGGAGGAAAATCAAGGGAAATAGAGGAAAGAGCTGGGAGGCAAAGGGCATTTATAGAGGGCTAGATAAAGACATGTACATATGCAA